ATGGGCACTAAGGATGTTTTAACAAAAGGGGGGGAAATGAAAGTTCTTTTTGGGGATATGTTATTCAGACAATTACTGAAAGATAGCTTGTTAAAGACAAAGGATTTGTTTTATTAAAAGGGAGTTCACCAAAGGTTTCTAATTGTTTGTGTTTCCCTCTTTGTCTCTCAAACCAGCCAGGAAATTTTTCATCCAATACTGTCAAGACGTTTGCTGTCAGCCACCAGTCGAAATGGTGAGGAAGGAGAGAAAAGGAATTCTGAATCTGTAAGAGGGCCTGGATTTGTTGAAAACCAGTGGCCAAAGTAGTCTTTCTTTGCTTCAGTTGTTCTTTGTGGTTGCATAAACTCCTGGTGGCCTCTGTCTTCTACTATGCTGCCAGTGTGTCTATCTCTGTTCCTTCATCTTGGATTTTTCCTCTTTTTTGCCGTTTTCTTTTGATGTTCTAAAAGAAACACTGCCCTTAGTAAACAACCTAAGATTAGAGAATTTTGTTTAAACCACTCTATGAATAATAAAGCAAAAGGTAACACTTTAAACTTCAAACTCAGCTGAGGTTTAAACTTCAGACCCAATGTAGAAAGCAGACCAACAGCTCCAAGACAGTTCTGTGCAGGGAAACCATGCCTACTAACACAGGAGAATGAGTTGCTATTCATGCATATCTTTTAATGAGATAGGTGCTGCATAGTATTGTTAATATGCTGCTCAGATTGTTTCCCCTGGGCAACAAAGTTATTTATTTATTTATTAGATTTTTACCCACCCACCCCCACAGACAGTGTCTGTTCGGGGCGGCTTACAAATATTCGGGGGGGCTTACAAATTCTAGAATCTGTTATGTTCCACCTACATCTAGTTTTGCCCCAGATTAGAAAACAGATTTTCAGCCAACAGCCAACACTGTACATTGTCCTTCAAAAGACACAAGTAGAGATCTCATTCTCAAGCATCCAGAAAGTGACAGAACTGAACTGCAATATCAGTGAATAATTGACATAATAAAAATGTCAAAAAGGAAAGAAACAGTATCCAATGTTCATTTCTATGTGGAAGGTAATATAGAAACCAGTTGTCAACCATAACCATACAGTGGCCAACACCACTGTTTAATGCTCACACATATCATGAGCATTAAACAGTAATTAATGCTGACATATATCATGAGCATTAAACTGTACTCTCTGAGTACAATTCTGCAACCAACTGTGTATCACCTGATTTCATACACTTCAAGAAACTTGTACCATCTTGGTATTTGCTCTTTTTATCTTCTCTGTGCTCAACTTGCTGTGCTCAACAGGAATGGATCAGCTTTTATTTCAAAGCTAAAAAGGAAGGCTTGCGACAGCGGCAGCTTATGTACAATAACATTCCTGACAGTTGATAGTGTTTTATAACAGCAACGTGTAAAAGTGGAGAGAAATGAATTGAAAGCGTATTGAATTATTTGGTAAAATTTGCAAAGTTTAGTACGGCCAAAGTCCCATGACTATTACGCTCTGCAGCTACAATATTCTGGTGTTCCAATGCCATGGTGGACTGAATAATTTATTTTACAAGCCTCTACTTCTCTAGACTTTGCAAGATAAGGATGTTTATTGTCAGAGTGGCATCCTGCCAGATTCTGAGTTACAGCCCTTGGAGTTACACGCCCTGCAGGAACAACAGGATTTCTTACTGAAAAAATGTCCTGGGTACACCAGGGCCATAGAACCTCCCCGCCTTGCAAAAAGGTTTGTTGACAGTAGATGAAGGAGAAATAATGGTATAAATAATGGGTAGTAACTTTTCACGTGTGTCAATTTATAATATTCTTGAAGGCTAAAATTACTTATTATGATGCTTTTACTTTTGAATTATGTGTCTTAGAGATGGATTCTTTGCCTTTTGTGTTTTTAATGCACCTTTTAAAACTACAATATCTTGTGTTTTAGAATGTAAGGTACTGCTAAACATTCTTATTGTTCTTTTTTACTCTTAAAATATATTTCTATTGTATTTTTAAAGTCCTAAACAGCTTGGATCCAAGCTATCTCAAAAGTCATATCTCCCTTTATGAGCCTGCCTGAGTGTTAAGATAATCAGAAGAGGCCCTTCTCTCGGCTCCATCACCCTCATAGTTGTGCCTGGTGGAGACACAAGTGAGGACTTTCTCTCTAACTACTGCCAGAACTCCTTCCCACAGAAAACCAGGCTGGCCTTATCTTTGCTGTATTTCCAAAAACAGGCAAAGACCCTTCTCTTCTGGCAGGCTTTTCCTTAGCGGCTGTATAGGAGACAATAAGCATGATGTTATACATCTGTTTTCATAATACTGTACGTACTTTTACCTAATATTTTTAATATAATGTTATTAGTTATTCTTTAATATTTGAATAATTACTATTTCTAGCTTATAATATTGTGTTTTTAATTATGTAAGCTATGTTGGGTCCTCTCTAAGGAGAAAGGCAGGGTAGAAATATTTCAAATAAATAAATAAATAAATGTATTGTTTTATTGATACTCTGCATTTTTCACAATGAAGACTCCAAGATGGCTCAGAACATGAATTAAAACAGATATAGCTAAAAAGACAGTAAGAGAGACCTTCAGTGTTCAAAGTGATTCCTTTATCTCATCACAACTCTGCAAGGTAGGACATTATAATTATATTCAATTTATACAAAAAGGAACAAGAATGATGACGGGTATGGTACGTCTATGTCCACCTAATACAGGATGGCTGCAGATCTGCCAGCAACAAAACCTGTGTGATGCACCTCTGTAAGACACTCTGTTGTAGGATTGACTCTTTCAAAGCAACAGCATGCCCTGAATAGCAGCAGAAAGAGAGAGGACAGACTTGTTTCGAGGGTGGATTATTCTTATTCCAACATACCACCCCCAAAAAATCCTTTAGAGCAGGAGTTGTGAACATGTAGTTCCCCAAGTGCTTAAGTTCAGCTTCCATCAACATTACTCAATATGGAGAGTGTTAAGAAATGATGGGAGTTGAAGTCCAGCAACTTTTGCAGGGCCACAGATTCTTCATTCCTATTTCACAGTGACCCCACAAAACAGCCAAATGTTATTTAATAATTTATTGGACATGGTATCTTATCTAAGACCAGTTGGTACATTCATCACAGGGACAAGATTTTAACCAGGACCTTGTAGATTGGTCTCTTAGGACCAAACTTGATGTGGACTAACATGGTTAGTATAGCAAATCATGGCTTTACTGTTTTAACTTATTTTGTTCCTGTACACTTCTACTAACATAGGAAGCCTGTGTGTGTTCGTGTGTCTGTGTGTGTGTGTAAATCCCTTCCACTACAGATGTTGTTTACTTATCTCACAACATTCTCAAGTAGGCATCATTGCTTAATTAAACACTATACATATTAATTGCAAATTAATTGCATAACTGAGTTTCACACATTACTTCAAATACTTTTGAAGTTGGTAAATAAATTACAAATGTTAAACTTAAATAAATAACATTTTAATTCAATCAAAAGCAAGCATTTGATGAAAAGCTAAATTGAGGTCACCTTAGATGACAGAGAAATCTTATACATGCCTGTCTAAAAGTCCCGCAGAGTTCAGTGCCACAAACTCTCAGAAAATCAGGAGTATCAGATTGGAGTTTGAACTGACTAAAGTACTTTCATTCCAGTAACAGCCTTGATTTTAATACTGTACTGTATTACTATTCACAATGCATTAGAGTACTGATGGTCAATTATACCACCCCACCCATTTCCTTAGACTCCAACTCCCAAGATTCCTCCCCATTAGCTATGCTGAGTAGGGCCTACAAGAGTTCAGCAACATTTGGAGCAGTGTGAGTTGCCCACCCCTGTTGTAGGCTTTATGTAATGGGATTACTCATCCATTATCCGACTGCTGGATATTGAGTCTGTCTCTGACCCTTCACTCAATGTTTGTCTTCTGGCATATAGACAATGGTGAAAATGCACAGCTTCTTCCATCACTGCACTTGGCACAACAGATCTGCCTGCATAAACTTGATCTTCCCAGCCAGTTCTGTGCATTGAATCAGAGTGACTGTTTTCCAAGCTAGAATAACTGAATTTTCCAAAGAAATAACATTTTTAAAATCAATACTGCAAAACTCAAAGAAAACCACTTTAAATATCCATCATCAAAACTGATTTTAGTACAAGAAGTCAGTTTTTCCATACATTAAAACTCCTAAAACCACATCAGGAGTTTGTGGCTCTCCAGATGTGGTATGAGGGATGATGGAAACTGCAACAATATCTGGATAATCCCATGCTCCCCATCTCTATCCTAAACCAGTCAAGAGCTGTTTTATAGAACCTCCACAAAAATTGATTTCTCTATAATCCAATGCACTAGATTTAAAAAAATATATCACCGTATGTTCCTGATGCCTTTAACAGTAAGCACACAGGCATTCAGGAAGCTATACTCTTACTATGCAAACATTATATCAATGTGTGGAAACCCAAATTACACTTATGTTTCTCAAAAGATGCATAACTACTAATTACTTCCTCAAGGCTAAGGTCTTGGTATGACAAACAGACCCAGAGGCTTAGCCTTAACATCAGTGAAGCCCAACATTAAAAGTTCCACATTGTCTTCCGGGAATTAGAAAAAGGTTTTAGGCTAAAACCCGGCAAAATCTGCTTTCTATAGGAAAAGGTCCCGTGTCTGTTTGTCTCCTGCCGCCAGCCTGCCTACTAGAGAGGCTCCTCCTCACTTTATCTCTAAGCTGCCGGGACGCTGCCAGTTGTCTGAGATGTAAAGAAAATGCACTCTGCAGCTGCTCAGAGGCCCTGTTATCCGTTCTGATGTCATCTACCCCGGACTGAGCCGTGGCATTAATTAAACCCTGGATGTTGTGCCTTTTTTGGATAAGTTTTGGAAGGGGGGGGCCTCTTTAGTGCGGCTGGCAGGCAGGTCTTGGAAGATGGTGCTCCTTTCGCTCTCGCCTCCCGGCCGGCCAAAAGTGCTCAACTCACCCAGTTTTTTAAAGGCGCGGTGCCCCGAGAGTTTGGCAACTCCTCCGTAGGTCTGGGCTGAAAGCGGTTGCTCTTGTTGTTGCTGGTGGTGGTGCCGGCTCCGGCGGTGGCTTTCGGAGCGGGACTTCTTCCATTTGCCACAAATCATGGCTGAGAGAAAGAGGACTAGCCCCGGTTCCAATCTCGGCCTGGAGCCCCCCTTCCTTTTTTAAAATCCGTCTCCTTACCCACCCGCTGGGGCAACAAGCGGGCACTCCGCCCTCCTCCTCCTCCGCCTCTCCACAGTTAGTCCAGCCTCCTTTCCGCCCGGGCGCAGCGCTCAGATTTGGAGAGGGAAAGCCTTCAAGGGACTCTCACATTTCAACAACGCAGGCAAAAAGGCGTTTAACTCATTCCCGCCCACTTGCCCTGGCTTGAGAGGCAGAGGGAACGGCGGTCCCTCACTCACTCTTGCTAGGTTTTTCTCCCCACCCCCCCTCCTAAGGCCACCGGCTGTGTCATGGCATATGAGGAGTGCCTCTGAGGATGTCCAAAGTTCCCGGCCCGCCCTGTAAGGCGGCAATCGGCACTCCGAACCGTAGTTGGGCTTAGCTTTTCTACCCTCCACCTCTTTCAATAATATGTCTCTGGCGGCCACCCGACGCGCTGATTATCAAGAAATGGCAACGAGGTATTAATATTTCATGGGTTCCTATTTAGCAGCCATCACTAAGTTGTGGCCTCCCCTCGCCCCATTTTTTTCCACAGCAGCTGCGATTCTTCCCTTAAAGAGGAGGGAAGGGGTCCCTGGAGGGGGCTGCTGTGAGCATCCCCTGAGATGCATCATGGGATGGCACCTGGCGCTCCAGCTGGCAAGCCCCTCAGGTCCCCTTGCGTGCCTGCCCAGCACAGGCGGCGGCGGGGGGGGGGGCTGAGTAAACTCCCTGAATGTTGGCACCTCCAGAAAGGGGGGGACACAGATTGCCTCGGGGTTACCTGCCCTTCTCTATGCATCATCCTTCTGTGTTCAATTCTCTCCCCCACCCCAGCCAGGTTCATTTGTCTTTTTTTTTATTAAGTAGGAGAGTCAGTTTGGATTTCCCCTTTACTCAAATGGAAATGACATCCCCAGGCGTTTTGATCAATTACAAATTGAGAAACCACCAGGGTCATGCAAGGGGCACCCAAGAGTCTTTGAGGAACTTCAGTGCACAATGCTTGAATCACACCAGCCGCTACCACTAGGCAAACCACCTAGAGTGCAGACCTGAGAGCGTTGCAAAACTGACCTCAGAGGGTTGCAGAACTGACCTGAGGGGCGCAGAACTGACCTGAGTGAGGCACCGTTTCATACATACTAGCTTCTTGAAAAAAATGCAACTGAATATTTGTATTTTAAAATGTTAAGATAAATACTACAACAGTGATACGGAATATAATTACAGTGGTGCCTCGCATAGCGAGGTTAATCCGTTCCGGATTAACCTTCGCTATGTGAAAACATTGCTAAACGGGACTAAAAAAGCCATAGAAACGCATTGAACTTCGTTCAATGCGTTCCTATGGCTTGAAAACTCACCGTTAAGCGATGTTTCTTCCATAGCGCTGCCATTTTCGCGCCCTCGGTAAGCGAGGGCAGGGCGCGAAAATGCGGCACGGCCCTTCTGGCGGCCATTTTGGAACCGCCGATCAGCTGTTCTCCCCCGCTTCGTTTTGCGAAGATCGCTAAGCGAATCGCTTAGCGATCATCGCAAAGCGAAAAATCGCCATAGGGGCCATCGCATAGCGAAGCACTCGCTAAGCGAGGCACCACTGTATTTAGAAAGTCTTACAAAAGTTTTCTATATACTGCAACCCAGGGGTCATTTCATAGAAAAAGGGGCTGCATAACTTATTTGCATATATCACCCCTGGCATAAGTGGAAGTAAGCAAAAAAAAAAAAACACTGGGTAAGTGAAAAAAAATAAATAAGA